TGATCATAAATAAAAATTATATGGGCATAACGGATGACTCCTTTATAAAGTTACTAACAACTTGATTAATTCTATAGAGTCAGTGTATGACTCCCTTATAAATGTATTTAAAGTGAATTAATTATAGACCATGTGATAATACACTATTTGTAAATAATTGTGGATGGTGATATAGCACCCAGAATAGCTTGGTTGAGCGCTGAGTGACTAGCTTTGGAATGGCTGATCTAGAGCTTTAGCTCGTTTTTAGTGCTCGACCTGATAAAAAACTCGCTTATGCAGCTTAGCTGCTTAGGGTCCAGGTTGACCTAATCATAAGGTTTGGAGGTTGTGTTCATCTAGGAACTCAGTGAGACGAGGAGACCTCATGACTTGGAGGTCGTGAAGATAGAGGTCGTGATTACGACCTGGTTAAAGTCTATGGCACTTAGGTTGCGAAATCCTTCAATGAATCCGTACTTCACGATTTAATTCCCCGATTGAGGAGGATTCCAAGCTGTTGTGCAATTTTATCGACCCAAAGTTTTGTTGGATGGATCATTTGACCCACAGTGTTGAATATGAAATGGTTCTCATACCTTTCGGGTCGTCGTTTCGTGTTATTGATAATAGTGGCTAAATGGAGGAGTTATGTTTTTACGCTTATTCTTTCGACTCATGAGATAGTTCAAAACACATCCAAGATGACGCTTATGATGACCAGGATTGATTCGACGTGCTCTACGAACATTTTCGTACACCCGGAGGTTGATTACGTGGCTATGGTTCATAAACATTTATCTTTTTCCTTGGTGATTATCGATATATGTGCTCGGTTTCACAATAATGTGACCACGAGAATTTAATTGGCCCGTCTTTGTTCTATTATACCGTCTTGACTACTATTGAAAAATACAAATGCGTAGCATGATAGACGGTCTTTTTTCGACTACTCTTGGAAAATACAAGTGCTGGACGGATATGGGTGCTCCAATGTCACCGATGGAAGGTATGGCGTGCGGCTGTGCGTTGTGGGTTTTGGTCGGAGAGTCGTGCACGCCTGTGTGCGTCCAACCTCTAGATTTAACATGTTCAAATGGTTATAATTTTTTTTAACTTAACTTGTTAGGGTGTGATTGTTTATCAATCCAATTAAAAAAAAAAAATCAAAACTCAAATTTAACTCAACTTTAACCCAACCTCACTATTTCCATTATTACCAATATAATTAAATAATACCAATCAATCATTCTTACACATCACATCAATTTTAATTCACTATTTATCCACTCACATAATTTTAATTAACTATCACTTCCAATCATTTTTCTCCTACTATTACATCATAACAACTTTAATTATTTTATTTTAAATATTATTTTAATATATCTACTAACAAATAACCATACTATTTTTTTTTCAAAATTAACTATGATTAAAAAAACCAATTAAAAACTAGTTGAATTTATAAGCAATCACCCCCTTAGTATCGTAATATATATATATATATAATAACTATATATGTTTATCAAATATAGCGTAACATTTTTTGAAAAATTGTAAATACAGTACCTCGATAATAACATTTACCCGGATTTGGGCCCAAATGTTTGTGTCAAATGGGCTTGGTATAAATTGGAAATGACATAAAAGGATACCTGAGAGAGAATCGAGGATTTGGAAAATTCTTTTCCTGCACGCAAACATGGCGCTCCGAACCCTCGTCGCCCCCGCCGCCGCCGTTCCCGGATTAAATCCCCGCACAACCCCACCGCTCATGGCCATGAACCGGATTTCACATCGCGATCTTTCTTCCGGCTTCCGTCGTTTCGGCACTCCTGCGCACGGCCCGGCGGCCCGCTGCCGCAATCTGGAGCAGAACAACATCAACATCAACATCAACGGCAACGACGCCGCCGCGGACAATCTCATGCTTGTGGCGGAGCGGTATCCCAAAAACGGGCCCCACAAACTTTCCATACCCTCAATTGAAAACAAGTCGCTCGAACCCATTCAACCCGATAACCGCCCCAATTTCTCTCGGCTTAATAGCAGCGCCTGCTATGAATTTCTCGCCTGCTGCGACAAATGGGCGGTGTTGGGGTCAGAGGATGAAGGTATTTCAACTCCGGCAGATCTTCTGTGTGACCCCAGGACCGACGAGGTCTGGCCCATTCCTCAATTTCAGGTGAAACCTCGCTTGCCCGTAAAACACTCTTGGGATCCCCTTTGGGGCGTTGGGTTCGACCCTTGCTCAGGTGACTGTAAGGTGGTCAAGTGTTCCGGTATTTATTACAGTGGTCGAGCACTCAGTGAATTGATAGCGGGCCTTCTGTCTGTGGGCACCGGTTCGTGGAGGGAAATCAGGTTCCCACACGACATGAATATCTATATCTATGAAGAGTACAGCGTTCACATAAACGGCTTTTATTATTGGACAACAATTTTAAATGATATTGACCGTAACGTTATTGTTCCATTCGATTTTGGCCGTGAAGAGTTCCCGCCTGATCTCATTCCTATGCCGGACCCAGACATAGGTTGGTACAGGGAGCCGTACATCGTTCTTGCAGAGTATCACGGGTCGCTTGCCGTTATTTTGCATGAATATGTGAGCCGTCAGTTTGAGATTTGGGTGTGGAGCAATGGGGACCGGAGCTGGTCTCACTTGTCCACACTCCATATTCCGAGGGATGCTGAAGTTAGAAAGGTTGTGGGCCTCTACAATAATGACAAAGTGATTCTCATTGACTCCAAGTACTGAACAAAGTCACCATTAAGAACAAGTATCCAATTCCAAATGCTTTGGACTTGTTTGACAAGTTGGCTCAAGCAAGATGGTACACAAAAATTGATGCGTATTGCCCCGGGTGATGAGGCAAAGACCACGTGTGTAACATTCTTCATTGATTGACTTTTCTAAGACCGTTAGACCTGGCACCAAGAAAGCATTTATCCGAACCCTGGTGAATTATCGGCATTCACTCGCAATTTAAATGCCTTTCTATTAAACTATTAAATAAATGCTCAGCTGGATGCGCTTCTGCTTTACGATTGTGGAACATCCGAGTTTGAGAATTTCGGTGTAATCCGTGATTATAACGATTTCGACTTTATGGTTTACCCTTATTATACCAACAGTAAGAGCATCCACAATGCTTAGGGTCTCTTTTTGTATATGTGGCATATAATTGGACTTGAGTTTTAAATGACATGGACAAACCCAAGTAAAAAACTCAAAAACTTTGCAATGCAAAAATAAAAAAACTAGGTCTAGCATACATGCCAACCAATAGAAATGCTCTAATATGTTTTATTCATTAAAAAAATATTAAATTAAGAACAAATGATGAGTGTTTGGGTTTGTACTTGGGTCCAAAATAGACCAAGTGTGGACTTGGTCTCTTTTTTTCATAGCCACATAAGCTAGACCATGTCCACTTTTAATTGCATTGGAAAGTATTTTTCTATAGACTAAGTCTATTTCCCATGTGGCATGTGATTTTTTGTTAAGAGACTCAAAGCATTGTGGGTGCTCTAAGAGAACTTGAACTCATAGAAGGTGGAACTACGATTTTGATTGAACTCATTGCGCGACAGCTTGTCTTTTGCCCTTTTATTATTATTCTGTNAGCTTTTATTGTTTTGATGGTAATCCAAACTTTAATTTAAGGGTTGCAACAATTAGTTAATACTTTAATTTTGTCCAATAATTGATATAAAAGTAAGAGGCAAAATAATAAATTTTAATTTTAAAATAAAAAATATATGAAAAAAATAAATAATTTTCGCATTACAGAAATGTGTACTACACGCGCAGTCAAGTTGGACGGAGACGGGAGAATCGTGCAACAATTAATTAGTTAATACAAGCAGGTCTGATGCAATTTTTAAAATACCAGGGGAAAACGTGCAAATTTCGTATAATACAAGGGGGTTATGTATATTTTACCAGCCCATTTTGTCCAATTGTCCTTCCTTTAAAATTTTTTTTTCTTATTTATTTGATTTTCTATCTTAGTTTTTTGTTATGCTTTTTTACTTAATTTTATTTTTATTTGTTCACATATTATGTTTTTAAATTTTACTTTTGGCAAATTTTTCATTTTGTCTTTATTTAAAAAATTATAAATAAAATTTTAATAATAGTTTTAAATACTATAATTTCTATGTTTTGTAAATTTTTAAATAAAAATTTACATCGATGTGTAATTAATACTCTATAATTATAAATAATGAAATTTAATTATATTATGTTTTTATATAGAATTTATGATATATATATATATGTATATATATTATTTAACAATTATATATATGATGTTTTTAACAATTGGTGCCTCTTTTCATGGGCCCATATTATGGGGCCTGTATTGGACCGAGTATGGGGCTCCCCATTCTGCCTGCTTCAATCTTCATTCGATGTCTTGTCGTCTATAAAAATACTTCAATATTTTAAAAATTAAAAATAAAAATATCAAAGCACTATACTTCATTCAAAGAAATAAATAAATCAAAAAATATATAAGTGCAATAAAATTAAATATATAAAAAAATACTAATAAATCTATAAAATACAGAATTGAGTGTCTATTATTGAAGAGGACATCTATTTATTAGCATATAAAATATGCTAATAAATCTATTTATTATTGAGTTCCCAAAAAGAAACAAATTACCCAACTAATTAGACGATGTTACTATTTTATTAAAGAAAATGAACTTAAATTCGCTAGTGCCTCAGAAATAGTCGGCATAACTGAGTGTGCATTACTAAAGTGGACATTTATTTACATGTAGAAGAGGATATCTATTTATAATTTATTATAGAAAAAAATATCTTTTTGTCTATTTTAAACTTTATACAATAGTCAACTA